TGAATGTCAGCTGAATGTTAACTGAATGTCAGCTGAATGTTAGGTGAATAGCTGTTGAATATCAGCTGACTGTTAGATGAATATCAGCTGAATGTTAGCTGAATGTTAGATGAATGTTAGCTGAATGCCTGCTGAATATCATCTGAATATTAGCAGAATGTTAGCTGAATGTTTGCTGAATATCAGCCTAATGTTAGCTGAATGCTATCTGAATGCCTGATGTATATCATCTGAATATTAGCTGAATGTTAGCCGAATTTCAGCTGAATTTCAGCCGAATATTTGTAGAATGTCAGCAGAATGTCAACTGAACATCAGCTGAATGTTAGCTGAATGTGAGCTGAATGTTAACTGAATGACAGCTAAATGTTAGGTGAATATCTGCTGAATATCAACTGAATGTTAGCTGAAAATCAGCTGAATGTTAGCTGAATGTTAGATGAATGTTAGCTGAATTTCAGCTGAAAATTAACTGAATGACAGCTGAATGTTAGGTGAATATCTGCTGAATATCAGCTGAATGTTAGCTGAATATCAGCTGAATGTTAGCTGAATGTTAGATCAATGTTAGGTGAATAGCTGCTGAATATCAGCTGACTGTTAGCTGAATATCAGCTGAATGTTAGCTGAATGTTAGATCAATGTTAGCTGAATGCCTGCTGAATATCATCTGAATATTAGCGGAATGTCAGCTGAATGTTAGCTGAATGTCAGCTGAATGTTAACTGAATGTCAGCTGAATGTTAGCTGAATGCTATCTAAATGCCTGCTGAATATCATCTGAATATTAGCTGATTGTTAGCTGAATTACAGATGAATGTCAGCCGAATGTTTGTAGAATGTCAGCAGAATGTCAACTGAATGTCAGCTGAATGTTAGCTGAATGTGAGCTGAATATTAACTGAATGTCAGCTGAATGTTAGGTGAATATCTGCTGAATATCAGCTGAATGTTAGCTGAATATAAGCTGAATGGTAGCTGAATTTCAGCTGAATGTTTGAAGAATGTCAGCTGAATGTAAGCTGAATGTCTGCTGAATTTCAGCTGAATGTTAGGTGAATATCTGCTGAAAATCAGCTGAATGTTAGCTGAATATCAGCTGAATGGTATCTGAATGTCAGCTGAATGTTAGCTGAATTTCAGCTGAAAGTTTGAAGAACGTCAGCTGAATGTAAGCTGAATGTTAGCTGAATGTTTGCTGAATATCAGCTGAATGTTAGATGAATGTCAGCTGAATGTTAGCTGAATTTCAGCTGAATGTTTGAAGAATGTCAGCTGAATGTAAGCTGAATGTTTGCTGAATTTCAGCTGAATGTCTGCTGAATTTCAGCTGAATGTTAACTGAATGTGAGCTGAATGCTATCTGAATGTCAGCTGAATGTTAGGTGAATATCTGCTGAATATTAGCTGAATGTTTGCTGAATATCAGCTGAATGTTAGATGAATGTCAACTGAATGTTAGCTGAATTTCAGCTGAATGTTTGAAGAATGTCAGCTGAATGTAAGCTGAATGTTTGCTGAATTTCTGCAGAATGTCTGCTGAATTTCAGCTGAATGTTAACTGAATGTCAGCTGAATGTTAGGTGAATATCTGCTGAATATCAGCTGAATGTTTGCTGAATATCAGCTGAATGTTAGATGAATGTCTGCTGAATATCAGCTGAATATTAGCTGAATGTAAGCTGAATGTTAACTGAATTTTAGCTGAATGTTTGAAGAATGTCAGCTGAATGTCAGTTGAATGTAATCTGAATGTCTGCTGAATTTCAGCTGAATGTTAACTGAATGTGAGCTGAATGTTAACTGAATGTCAGCAGAATGTTAGCTGAATGTCTGCTGAATATCAGCTGAATGTTAGCTTTATATCAGCTGCATGTTTGAAGAATGTCAGCTGAATGTTAGCTAAATGCTAGCTGAATTTCAGCTGAATGTAATCTGAATGTCTGCTGAATTTCAGCTGAATGTTAACTGAATGTGAGCAGAATGTTAACTGAATGTCAGCTGAATGTTAGCTGAATGTCTGCTGAGTTTCAGCTGAATGTTTTACTGAATGTGAGCTGAATGCTATCTGAATGCCTGCTGAATATCATCTGAATATTAGCTGAATGTCAGCTGAATGTTAGCTGAATTTCAGCGGAATGTCAGCTGAATGTTTGTTGAATGTCAGCTGAATGTCAACTGAATGTCACCTGAATGTTAACTGAATGTGAGCTGAACGTTAACTGAATGTCAGCTGAATGTTAGGTGAATATATGCTGAACATCAGCTGAATGTTAGCTGAATATCAGCTGTATGTTACCTGAATGTCTGCTGAATATAATCTGAATTTTAGTTGAAGGTCAGCTGAATGTGAGCTGAAAGTCAGCTGATTGTTTAAACAATGTCAACTGAATGACAGCTGAATGTCAGCTGAATGTGAGCTGAATGTTAGTATAATGTTTGCTGAATATCATCTAAATGTTAGCTGACTGCTATCTGAATGCCTGCTGAA